ATGTAAAATAAACTATTTACTAGCAAAATAAAAAATACCACTTTTGGCGACTAAAAAATATTTTTAGTCGCCAGTTCTATACTTTTGGCTACTAATTATTTTTTAGTTGCTAAAAAACTTAACTTTTGCCAATCAAAATCTCCTTTGGTCGCCGAAGATGCACTTTTAGCTACCAAAATTTTGGTCGCCAAAAAATTTAATTCCCGCCTTAGGATTTTAGTTCTCCGGCACTAAAAATGACCACTTTTGGCGACTAAACTTATTTTTTAGTCGCCAATTATAGACTTTTGGCTACTAAAATTTTTTCAGTCACCAAAAAGCTTTACTTTTGGCTACTGAAATTTTTTTAGTCAATAAAATCCATATAATCAGCGACCAAACTTATTTTCAGTGGCCAATTGTAGACTTTTGGCTACTAAATTTTTTTAGTCGCCAAAAAGCTTTACTTTGGGCTACTAAAAATTTTTTAGTCACTAAAACCCATATAATCAGCGACCAAACTTTTAGTCGCCAAAAAACTTTACTTTTGACTACTAATGCTCTTTTGGTCACTGAAAGCTATACTTTCAGCAACCAAAATTTTTTTGGTCAGAAAATTTAGTCGCCGAATATGCTTTTTTCTGTAGTTTATATTGAGTTTAATTTATTTATTTTTAATCATTTACCGCATTTTAAAAATTTAGAAAATATATTGACATTTTTTATTTTTTCAAAAATGCCATTATAAACTTGGAAAGTTTTTGTCCTAGTGGCATTTCTCAAAATACTATAAAATATTTGTTTTTGACACTTTTTACCTAAGTGCCATAAAAAATAATTTGCACCTACCTAGTGTTCTGACATTTTTTTAAAAATGCCATTGCTACTAAAGTTTAGTGGCATCTGTTGGTAAATGTTACGAACATAATTTTTTGTGTCATTATTTTATAAAATGCCATAAAATTGATGTGACATTTCTTTATTAAAATGCCACTAGAGACTTATATGTTTGTAGTTCTGTGGCATTTTTCTAAAACATTTAATGTCAATTTTTATTTTTGCGGCATTTTCTAAAAACATGCCACTAGTGTAGTGTCACTAAAGTGTAAATTTGTTGTAGTGACATTTTTGTTGTAGTGAAGTGATATTTTTTTAATTGAAATGCCACTAGAGCCTTATATGTTTGTGGCTCTATGACATTTTTCTAAAAAATGCCACCAAATATTCTTTTTGTGACATTTTTTAAGAACATGCCACTAGTATGGTGTCACTAAAATGTGTTTTTGTTATAGTGTGTATGCATGTATTCATGAGAATTTTGTATACATGAGAGTAGAAATTTTATCATCAAATGAAATATTTTTAGATTTAGAAACGAATTTTTACCGATGCTACCTATAGCAATTATCTCTGGTCATGCCTTGAACATTTTATGTCCGCGTACAATTTTCCTCTACCGGATTTCGCCTTTAGTACACCTACAAAAGACATCAAGTATTCGGTTTAGGTACCTATATTTTTTTGGGTCCATGATTGTTAGTTTGTGAATTACTTGATTTTGGAATCCATCTCATGTTTGTTCTTAATAAAATTTTCTTGTAAGGACAAGATGAAAATAAGTGCCATTTTCTAAAACAATAATGACAAGTAATACATGGGCTACTAGGTGAGCAAGTTTTAACAAAGAAATTTTTATAAAAAGTTTGTTTCTTGTGAGGTTTGTATTTATTGTCAAAAACGCATCATTAATTTAAAAATTATTTTATTTAAATCTTCTATATTTTCTTTTAAAAAATTATTTTCAATTTTCAATCATTTGAAGAATTTTTCAAAGAATCATTTTCGTTTTTCAAACTTTCATTTTCGTTGACAAGCAAAGTATTTAATTTTTTAAGAGCATAATTTTTTGAAATTATCTTTTAAAAATCTTTATGAAATTTTTTAACAATATCTAGCAATTCTTCATAAGAAAGAGTTTTTGATAACCTCATCATCTTCAATCCCCATGAAGTAAAGATTTGCCACTTTTGAGTCGCTTGATTCGCTATCTGAGTTACTGTAGTCACTTTCTCCCCATGCTGCCATAGCTCTTCTTTTGCTTTTCTTCTTTTTCTTCATCTTCTTTAGGTTGGGACAATCATATTTAATGTGACTCTATTTCTTACACTCATAAAAGATTATTTGGTCTTTCTTTTCTTAATCATCTTTATTTAATGATTTTTGTGAAATCTTCTTTTAAATTGTTTCTCTTTTCAGTAAATTTTTAATTTTTTTTGTGACCACGGCAATGTCACCATCCTCGTCACTTGAGTTGTTGTCGTATTCATCTTTTTCTTGAGTTGATATTTTGAATGCAATTCCTTTCTTCTTCTTGTCATTATTATCATCGTTGGTCTTTATCAAAATCTCATGGGTCATTAATAGCCTAAGAAGTTCATCTAAACCAAGTGTGTTGAGATCACTGGCTTCCTGGATTACCGTCACTTTCAGTTCCCAATCCTTTAGTAAGCACTTGAGAATTTTTCTTACCATTCACTGTTAGTATATACTTTACCAAAATTTCTCAAAGAATTTGTAATATCAATAAATCTAGTAAACATTTCAGGAATAGATTAATTAGATTTCATTTTGAATAATTCATAATTATGAACAAGCATACTATATAATATGTGACTCCTTAACTTGATTTGTACCTTCATGTGTGACTTCTAATTTATCCTAAATTTCTTTGGCAGTGTCACATGCAAAAATTCTATTAAATTCATTAGGATCAAGTGCACAATATAATATATGTTTAGCTTTGGCACTTGCTTGAATACCCTTTAAGATCATTTTCATCCCATTCAACTTCTGTTTTAAAGACTTTCTTTGTATCTATAATTTTGAAAGGAATATTTGGACTATTTTTAACAATTTTCCATACCATATAATATGTGCCTCATATATATATCATCATTCTATTTTTCCAATAACTATAATCGATTCTAGAAAAATATGAATGTTTGGAAGGTGAGTGACCATCAATAATTTGTAATCCTATAATAGTTGTCATTAATCATCTCTAAGACAGTTAAGTCAAAAATACAATAACCCTTACTCTGATACTAATTGTTACCTAAAAGGCAACTCAAGAGGGGGTGAATTGAGTTTATAAATAAATAACTAAATTAAAAAATAACCCAAATAATGAATAAATAAAAATATGAAGTAATATAAATGCGAGTAATAAAAATGAAATGAGTAAAGGGAAGAGAAAGCAAACATGTGATTTATAGTGGTTTGTTTCAACCCAAGCCTACATACACTTCTTAAGTATCCTCCTCGAGAATTTCTTCACTATCTTTCAAATAGTAATATACCCCTAGTTTCGCAGGTGCTATAGAATCTTTAAAACAAGTGATCAATCCTGATCACTCCGACTAGTTTGGACTTTGGTGCGAAGTCCACACCTAATCTAAGCGATTTTATCATAAAAAATCACTCACAAAAAATATCACTCTTTTACAAAAATAAAAATAAGAGATACAAAATCTTTTTACAATAAAAGTTCAAATTTTTAATAATTTTTTTCTCAAAAAAAATCATAACTTAAAAATACACATCACACAATATTTTAAACTCTTAAATATCACAAAATTTTCACCACTTGTCTCTTACATTTTCTTTTTCAGTGGTGCTTTTATAGTCAATTAAAAATATGTCGGTTGTTGTCCAGCCCTCTTTCATCCATCTTTCCTTTTTATTTTTTTATTTTTTTTATTTATTTGAATTTATTCTTTTTTTATATTTTTACAATAATGCTTGAGACCACTAATTAGTACTACCACTAATTATATGGCAGTGACCCACTGCCACAGTGTGTGCTGTGCTTTGTTTTCATTTTTTTTTTTTTTTCCATTTTTTACCTCACTAAAGGTGAATTTAGAGCTAATTATTTAGAACTCTAAACCATTTCTGATATTTTTAACGGTACACTCCCATAATTTGCACATGTCAACAAGTAAGAATAAGGAAAGGAAAGGCAAAAGAAAAACAAAAATGCAGAGTATTTTTCAATGAGACACCCACCACGTGGTATGCCTCTCTATAGTACATTTAATTATAAGAAAATGTTATAAATTTTAAATAATTTATTAAAATTTTTATTAAATATCTCGTATAGATGTGAGATTAAAAAATATATAATTTGTATAAATTTCATACCTAGACGAGAGATTTGATAAACAATTTGATATATTATTTAGGGTTCCTACCCTAACTCTTAATTATATTATATATAATTAAACTATTTAAAAGGTGCATAACAGATTTACTTAGGATTCGTTTGGAATGTGGGTTGACTTTTTAATTATTTTAGCCTAGAGTTAAAAAGCCTCATTTGACTTTTTTGAGAGAAAAAATAAAATGATTATGATTTGAATGTAATATTTTGTTAAAAAATCTATTTTATTTTTTTTATGACTAAAATAGTCAAAAAATTAAAAATTCTGACATGCCAAATGAAGGCTTAGTTTAAATTCAGTGTAATATGTACCAAAAAGATAGAATACATTTTCATATTTTGTGTCAAATTATTATAAAATAGGATAAATTACACTAACAACTCCTGAGATTTCTGTTTAATACATATCCCCTCAATATTTGAAAAATTACATTTCCTCATTAAAAAATTTTTTTTGAGTTTCTTCTATTGCTACCAGCAAGCTCCCTGTAAAGCATTCATCAAAGAGAGAGAGAGAGAGAGAGAGAGAGAGAGATGGAGAACGAGATTAAACATTTCATCCATGAACATCCATTGAGAATGGAGAACGGTGTGATCGATGACGAGCGGTGCTTCTGCTTGTTATGCCACAAAGACATCGCTTCACCAATGTAATCGTGTTGCAATGAATTTTGCTTGAGAAAGGTGTACTTGCACAAATCATGCTCCCAATTCCCACAAGCGATGCTACATCCCTTTCACCCACACTCTCTCACCCTCCTCATCAGGCCCCCCAATGAATTTCACTACTTCGACTGCGATGCCTGTTGGAGGACAGGTCGAACCCATAGTAACTACCACTGTTTCGAGTGTGACTTTAACCTCGACATTTGTTGTGCTTCACTAATGCCTGCCAAATTCCCAGTCCAGTAGAAGAATCAATCCCAAATTCAATATCATATACTACGTCACCCACATCCCTTGATTGTCTGCGACAACAACAACGATACGATTTTATTTAATTTTACCTGTTCTTTCTGCAAGCTACCCATCAATGGAAGTCGAATCTACGTTTGCCTTGACTGCAAGTGCTTGCTCGACGAATCATGTGCCGAGTGGCCTTCACAGATCCAACATCCTTTCCACCGACAACACCCACTCACCCTGCTTGACCAACGTTGGAATACGTTTTCGAGGCAGTGTAGAGCTTGTGGGAAGGTGCTCGAGAAGGGCATTCTCTTCAAATGTGATGAGTGTCGTGTTAAAAATGACCAATGTGAGGATTCCAGTCAGTGCAGCGCTTGTGGGAAATTCCTGGCAGAGGGCTTTTCCTTCAACTGTTCTGAGTGTAATTTCAGCCTGGACCCATTGTGCGCTTCGTTGATACCATTGCCGTCGTCTACCCAAAATTCTCAAGGCAGCAGCAGCGATGATAAGTTCCAGATTCAACAGTTAAGCCATCCCCACCCTTTGATTCTTTGTGAGAAGAAAAAGGATTATCGTATATCTTGCAATGCTTGCCAGCTTCACTTTGAGGATGATGATTCTATTGTCTACATCTGTCTTGAATGCAAGTTTTTTCTGCACAAATCTTGTGCGGATTTGCCTCTGCAGGTAAAACGCTCATTTTGCCACCACCAACACACACTCACCCTGCTCCAATATTCACTTGGTCTGTTGTACGAGAATATTGGCAATGCAAATGGATTCAGCGGTAAATTTAAGTGCCATGCGTGTCAAGTATATGCTTCAGGCTTTGCCTATGTATGTACCAAGTGTGCAATCTTCTTTGACATTACATGCCCAATTTCAAAACCCTTCCTCATCAGCTCTCAACTTCACCACCAGCACCCTCTTGCTTTCTTCGCCGCCATACCCTACGTGCTCTATTGCAACGCTTGTAATCGGCGAATCTGCACCTATTTTTTCCGCTGTGTGGGGTGCGAATTCAATCTCCATGTCGATTGTGTAACAACATTGCCACCAACTGTCAAAGATAAACATCATATGCATCCCCTCACTCTCACCAACTCTCCCATCAAAGACCATCCAGATGAAAATGAATTCTCGGAATTCTACTGCGATTCTTGTGAGAAAAGAAGGGAGTTATATGATCCTACCTACTATTGTGAAGAATGCCACTACGTTGCTCATGTTCATTGTCAGCTCTCTGAGGTATGTATGCACTTTCAGTATTTTTGCCTGAATAGATTTTCATTTGAGAGAGAGAGACAGAGAGAGCTAAGTAGAACTACTTGGTGGGTTTCAGGAGTCTAGGTGACTTCAAATTTCTAACTGTTGCAATACTAGTGCCTAAATCATATTGCCCCACAGTTAAGGTCTTGTTGGGATTCCAAATTCACAATTTGTATTGTTTAGTTCTCTCTGGGTTCAGAAGCTCTTTTTAACATGATAGAACCAAAGCTCTTTATCATCAAGTTGACCTTCATTATTCCTTACTGCTGGGAAGACGACCAAGAGATTTCCAAATGTTTTAAAACATAAGTTGTAGTCTATTGAGATTGTGAGTAAGAGGAAGGCTTAATGATAATGGAATGAATTTCATGATTTTTATTTTTCTAGTCGGTGGTTAATTGTTCAGCCTCTCCTTAGGTGAGATTTGGTGGCCAAAGGCTACAACCCTTTAGTTAATAACAATTCATTATTTATGACAGAAGTAAAAGTTTACCCACCTATTTTTTCCATATTCACTGTCAGTTGACTATAACTTTGGGTAGTTACATAGAAGAGTGATAGAACAGAATTCTGTGCACAAACTTTTTTGGAGAGGCGTATGCATATGGTGTTAGCTGTATAAGATTATCTCCAATCATTCACCAAAATTTTTATCTAATTTGATTCCAATTTAAGTATAAAGCTTGGTTGGATATTACTCTAATCCTCTCATCAAGTTTTCATTAATATCTTTTAAAAATTATTGTCTCGTCCTAAATTTCACTTTTAATCAATTTTGATGAAAACACCCCAACTCCAATCCTTATCTTTTAACAAATTCATCAAACTTAAGTGGAAAAAGACTTGTTGGAAATTGGTGAAAGATTTGGTTCATCCTTTATTTGATAAAAAATTGACTTCTCCCTTGATTTGATACAAGTTTGATAAAAGGATTGAATCTCATTTTCATCAAATTTAAATTTGATGAAGGATTGGAAATGTTCTAAGAAGTGTGGTTATATAATCCATTCTTCACCGTATCCCAAAAAAAAAAATCCCATGTTAGTTTTGCTGTGAAAAATAACTTAAAATATTTTTTTTTAATGGTACAATGGTCCTCCAGTAGCAGCCAATGTTGTTTTCTCATTTGAGGAAGGAAACGTGTTTAAAAAAATCTTATTTTTTGGGGTTTTCATCAAACTAAAACCACAATTAACATGTAATAAAGAGTAACAGGGGCAAAATAATCCTAGAGAAAATAGTGGTGGTAACATTTTAAGCTTATACTTCGCCAAAACGTCAGATAAGGAAGTCCAAATATTCCCCAGCGAGAGATAAAATTTTAGTTCCAATTCTCTCTCATTGTCCTTTCTTTCTTTTTTTTTCTTTTTTGTTTGCTAATATCTTATACTGTTATTTTTTTTTTTTGGTTGCTCCATAGATATTTCCCATACTAGAGGAGCAGTTCTTGCCTTGCAAACTTGGTGAGACAAAATTGGAGATGCCAGCAAGTGTGTGTGAAGATGGTACTGGTATAGGGACTTGCAAGGATTTGATGATACAAGAGATCCTGGGGAAAGAGCGTGACGAGATGGAGAGTGAAAAGCGTTTTCGTGGACCATATGGAGAGGTTTTTTCAGATGTTGCTACAGACGATGAAACGGAAGGGGCAAGAACTACTGAACAATCTTCTCTCACTGAACTAGATGAGGTAGAGTGGCTAACTACAAGATTAAAGGCAGCAAGGAAAAGATTGAAAGAACTAGAGGAGAGGCGTGCTCAGTATGTTGCGTCTCTATTGCTCAATTCTGGGGATAATTAGTGAATGTTTAGTGAAGCACTGATTTGGAAGAGCAACACATCAGCAATTAGCATCAGCGCTGACACACAGAAACACACAGAAAAACCCCCTATATATATATAATGCTATAATAACTTGTTTGGTGTCTCAACTATGTTAGTTATTTAGTATATTTAAATTATCTTAAGCTTAAACATCTTTAGATTTTATTATGTAAGTAAAGCTTTAAAACTATCTATCTAAATGAGTGTTGCTATTTGTTACTTTCTCTGACCCTGGAGAACTGCACTGCACCTGTTCGATTTTTGAGTTGATTTTCATAGAGGCTGGCTTGGGTTGCTTTAGTTTTGCTCAAACAGAATTTGATGTTAGCTGTAATTTCAACCTATGAACGAGCAATTTTCCCATCCAATTAAGAAAATAGTGGGCAAATGGAAAGCTCCAGATTAGAATGTATACATGGTCATTTTTTGATGGACCAAATTTAGAAGGAAAATTCTATTCTACTAAAATTTTCATACAAATTCACTTAATTAGAATGATGTTGCAGGAAATTTTTTTTGAAATTTAGAATCATCTTGGTGGGGTTTTTTTTCTTTTAAATGATAATTTCACAATTCAACTATATCATTTTGTATGTATTTTGGAATGTAGTGGAGATAGATCATGTGGAGGAACTGAATTCTCGGAACCAGTGGTGAACATCGATCAGATCCGAATACACTACATAATAAGAAATATACATGTTACTTTAAGCCTAGACAGAGCCAGACTAGCATCAACCTAGCTTACTCATCCAAAATTTAGTAGAGAAAGAATTATTAAATCCAAGTCCACCAGCTTAATATATATTTAACTATTATCAACCCACTAATTTAGTCACACTTTAAATAGATATATTTGAGACTAAAAAAGTAATTATGTTTAATTCTTTTATTTTCTAAACAAATAGTCATACATCAGAGAAAAAAAGATTAAACACAGAATAATTTATTGTATTAATAATTGTTTGGTCTTGAAATATTTGGTTTTTGTTAGGTTGTGCATTTATTAGAGGAAGAGGGTCCTTGGTTTGCTATGAACTTGAGGACACTGTTGGACATTCAAGTGATGTTTTTGAAGAGAATCCTGATGAAGTGGTTGACAATTACAGTGGTAGAAGAGATAGGAGCAAGAGAGAACCAGGTGTGAGAGAGTAATACATCGGCAAATGTACATGAAATTCAGAATGCTTAGACCAAGATGAATCTTTTAGGTGTTGCAATAGACAATGAAGTCATGGAAATAAGGAATTCTTCCATGGTGGCAGGCAAAAATATGGGGGCAACGAGTAAATGGAAACACTTCGCTTGCACTTACCCAAAAAAAAAAAAAAAAAGAAACACTTGGCTTGTTGAACTAGATGAAATTATAACGCTGCGAAAAGTAAAAGAGGTACTGCAAATGAAATTTGAAATGCTCCATATAGAGAAAGAGCTAGCAACGGGAAGACTAAATGCGACAAGAACAAAATTAAAAACAATTGAAAATATGAGCATGTAAAAATTTGCAGGTACACCCTTCCATAGAAGTTTAACCTTTTAGAACGTGTAACAATTCACAATGAGTTGACAACATGTCACTGGAATAAATCAAATGGATGATGCTCTATTTAATTCATGGATTTGGAAAGGGCAAATTAAAAAAGGAGGAGAGCAAATGCAAAGGAAATTATTGATCTTCGTTTGGTTAATAACAATATGAACTAATTCCAATGACACTGGGAACAATTTTAATGTATGTTGCTCTACCAGCTAAAGATTAGATCTTGGGTTGGATCGAGACCTGACTCAAGCTCTCTGTTCTACTTCACGGCCAAAAAACTAACACCCAGTTGTTTCCATAGCAAGAGGACTCTTCTCTTATTTACTGTATATTTGTGAACCACAGCCAAGATAATACATAAAATTATCAAATAGAAATTATTTCTAACGTAAAAATAATTGATATGCAAATAATGAATAGATGACATTTCGATATTGAATATTTCCAAGTGCTCATTGTCCCTAATTGGACATTTTCTCTCTCTAATGAAATCCAATTCCTAAATTTGGTTAATCATTGTGAGCTTTGGATTGAGTCCTAGTTCTTCCAGATTGGAGTTGATTCGTCAACTGTAGTTGAAATTCAGTCCTAATTGTAGTTGAATTGCACTTGAGTTCCACTTTACAAAGCCCTCTTGCATGAGATATCCTAATTACTGAAACCCTAGCACCTTGAAATCCCAACGCAATCTGGCCTTTTAAGCTTTACAACAGCTTTGAGCTTCACGGCTTTGCTTCAAAGCTGAATTCGAATTGGTTCTTTGTAACCCTAGATCTACAATGATCTCATGTCCTATTATTATCTCTGATTCGAGTTCACAAGTCAATCACAACTGGATTTTTTTGTTCAAAAGCTTTGCACTCTAATTCGATTCAGCCTCCACAGGCTTCACACCTCATTCAAACAGAATTTGAGTTACAAATTGCCATATTCAAAATCCCAATTGAGTTATGAACTTGATCCAAAACCCAAGTTAAACTCCGAACTCAATCCAAAACAATCCAAAACCCTAGCTTAGAGTTGTGACTCACAATTGGAGTTGATTTGTCTCGAGTTGATTAACCTTTCACGATACTAGTAACTGGCTATCAGACTGAGTTCATTGCATTAGTTCTCAATCAATGTTATCGATCTGGATCTTGTTCAAATCCACTGAGCATTGCTCTTCGAGTTCATTGCATTAGTTCTCAATCACTGTTATCAATCTGGATCTTGTTCAAATCCACTGAGCATTGCTCTTCGAGTTCCCTTGATTGTTCGAAGCTGAATATGAGGTACATCAACTTCAGAGTGTAGAGATTCATTTACACACAAGTATTGCGACTTCGAGCTACACATTGACAACACCGGTTTGTGAACCTCAACTTCAGCTTAAGTTCTGGTTCAAATTGACTCTATTTCATATTGACTACCTTGAGTTTTTCAGATCCAGATTCACAAATTGTTTTGACATTTATATTTCTTTGCTCATTCAGTATTTCAAAAGTATCCTTCGGCACTTTTAGCTGGACTATGATGGTGTTTGGGAAGTGAGTTGGGTTTTTATGTGGTTGGATGTGATGTTTGTGAGAGAAAAAGTGAAATGATTATGGGGTTGGATGTGATATTTTGTTTGGATGTATTTTTTTTGGTTTTGCAAAACTTTTGTCTGGAAAAAATGAGAAAAAAATTTGGGAACTTGCTTCCCAAACACCACCATGTATTTTGGACTGATTTTCATTGTAGTGTGACTGAATCCTGATTATTGCGATTTAGAATAATGGCTCAAAGGAGGTCAACAAGGTGGAAATAGTAGGGTTTATCTGCGAATTTGGAAGCCGACATTGGGAGAATCTTCAATTGGATGAAAGAATGATAAAAACAGAACCAAAGGAATGAGATTGAAGAGTTTGTGGTCAACAACTTGCTACCTTGATTGGAAGAGTGCAAAGCTTGCAAACCGAAGGTAGTCTTGGTTCCAGGGATCATCAATTTGATGATTCCTTGGATGCTACACATTGGCATAGAGCATGTTCCCATGGAATTGAATCTAAATAGGGAAACACCGTCAATGATTTTGTGCTTCCCAAATTTCATTGATTGGAAGAGTGCAAAGCTTGCAACCTCTTTTCAAGGGTAGTCTTGGTTCTTAAGGTCATCAAACAAATCAAAAGAAAACCAAAAAATTCTAGAAAATTAATCAATGAATAAAGAAAACAAAAAAGAAATGAAAGACAAGAATACGACAAAGAATTAATAAGTAAACAAATTATAAAACATCACCGATAAATTTGCAGCAATTCATGTCATACAAATAAAGAAAAAAACATAAATTGAAAGAAAATTTCAATACTAATGATTGATTTAAATAAAGAAATGGGAAAAAAGAAACACAATAATAAAAAAAAGTCAATTAGAAACTACAATTTTGATTGCAAAGAAATCTAAGAAACTTAGTTTCAACACAACAAAGAGATGTAAATATTTTTTTAACCTCAGGCAATAGCTACGAATTATGTTCTCAGGATTTCTTGACATACAACCCACTCCAAAAGATGAAAGGAAAATCAAGCAATAAAAATATAATCATAAAAAAATTCAAATAATTAGAGAGAATTTATTGAAAACAAAGAAATTATTAAACAAAGAATTGTAAAACAAGAATAAGAACTATAAAAACCAAATACTATAAAAATAATTACCAAGTAATCAAATTACAAAATCATAACTGATAAATTTATTACTATTCATATGTCATATAATTAAGGAAATCAAGAATTTGCGAGAAACTCACCAACACAAATTCCTATACTAGTAATTCATAATTTTAAGGAAAAAAAATTTGGAAAAAAAAAATTAATTAGAAACTAAGATTATAGATTTTGACTACTAAAAAATCTTAATAGAGAAATCTAGTCTCAATGGAGATTGCGAGAAAGAGATGTCCAATTTTTTAACATCAAGCATTGAAATTGGAAGGTTATGAATTCTCTTCCCAGGATTTCTTAGCAAACAAACCAATAAACCAAACAAAAATTAAGAAATAAATAATATATTTATTAAAAAAACCCAAATAATTAGAGAACATTTATCAAATCAAACTTAAAGAAAATATTAAACAAAGAATTGCACAATAGTAAGAACTATGAAAACCAAACATTATAAAATTAATTACCAAGTAACCAAATTATAAAACCACAACAAATAAATTTGTTAATATTCATATGTCATATAATTAAAGAAATTGAGAGAAAGGCACTTACAGAAATTTCAACACAAGTAATTTAAAGGAAAAAAATTGGAAAATAAAAAATATATATATAGAAAAGTTAATTACCGTCAATTCAAACAAAAAATAATGTGATAGATAAACAATTAAAAATTTGATCAGAAATTAATATCATAATCTTGATTGCAAAGAAATCTGAGAGAGAAACTAGTCTTAATGGAGATTGTGAGAAAGAGATGTCTATTTTTTAACATCAATCATTCATATCCAAAAAATTATGAATTATATTCCCAGGATTTCTTGGCTAATAAACCAATGGACAAAGTAAAATCAAACAATAAATAATATATTTATCCCAAAAAAAAAAAACAAACAGACAACAAACAAACAAATAATTAGAAGAAAAAAATAACAAAATTAAAGAAAACATTAAACAAATAATAGCACAATAGCACAACAATAGTAAGAACTATGAAACCAAACATTATAAAATTAATTATCAAGTAACCTAATTACAAAACCATAATAGATAAATTTGTTATACTTTATTTATTAAATAATTAAGGACATTGAGAAATTGAGAAAACCATAACAGATAAATTTGTTACAGTTGATATATCAAATAATTAAGGAAATCAAGAAATTGAGAAAACATAACAGATAAATTTGTTACAGTTTATATATCAAATAATTAGGAAAATCGTGAAAGCGAGAGAAATGAAACAACACAAATTTAAACACTAGTAATTTAAATGAAACAAAAAAAATATCGCGAAAAAGAAACAAAATACTAAGAATTTAATAAGAGATTAAGATTACAATTTTAATTG